CCGGGTGTTGCTGCTGACGTCGCTGCTTTCACCATGCGTCCCGCCGCTGCCGCCGCTGCCGCCGCCCCCTCCATCGGGGATGGCCCTTGCCATAGATCGCCGGGTCCTTCCCCGAGGTCGACTTCGCGGCCACCTTCCGGCCCGATCTGCCGGAGGCCACCCTCAAGCAGGCCACCGCGCACATGCTTCACTGCCTGCACAAGTACGGCCTGCTGGTGGTGAAGAATGTCCCCTGCAAGAACTCCCCCCCGGCTTCGGCGGCCTTCGACCCGGTGGACCAGTCGCGCTTGGTGTCCGAGCGCGTGGCCCCGCTGATGGAGACCTTCTACGGGCTCCTGTGGGATGTTGTTTCGCTGCCGGATGCCGAGAATGTGGCCTACACCAATGTTCGCCTGGACCTGCACCAAGACCTGCTGTACTTCGAATCGCCGCCGGGCATCCAGCTGCTGCATTGCCAGCTGAACACCGTGGCCGGGGGGGAGGCCCTCTTCTCGGACTCCTTCGCTCAGGCCCGGCACTTCCGCCGGGAGTATCCCGACCATTATGAGACGCTTCTCCGGACGCCGGTGGCCTTCCACTACCGGCGCCTGGGCCGGCGCCGCCGCTTTGTCCGCACAACCTTCGAGCATGATGGCCTGAATGAGATTGAGCGGGTCAACTACTCGCCGCCCTTCATGGCCCCGGTGGAGGGGCTGACCTTCGACGAGGTGCGCTGCTTCCCGTGAGATGGTGCTCTTCCTGCTGCCATGGCCTCTTTCCGCCCGGCCAGGGCAGGCCCATCGGCAAGCGCACGCACCTATGGGTGGGCCTGTCGCTGGTGCCGTGCCTGCTGCTGGAGGAGGGGGAGGGGGGACCAGAGCCGGGGCCGAGCGACACTCGAAGCGGACTCCATTGGCCCGCACTTCACTCCACTGCCAACTTCTGATCTGACCATGCCCATCTGCCGATGCCACTACACATGTACATGCCTGTGTGTGTGTGTGTGTGTGTGTGCGCGCGCGCGCGTGTTTCCACACGTAGGTTCAGCGCTTCTACGAGGCCTTCGCCCTCTGGGAGCAGACCGTGTCTGACGCGCGCTGGCACCATACCCGGCGCTATGCCAAGGGGGACCTGATTGTCTTCGACAACCGTCGGGTTCTGCATGCGCGCACCGCCTTCGAGTCGGCCACCGGTGAGCGGCACCTCCGCGGGTCGTACCTCCGACTGGACGACTGGCGCGCGGCCTGGCGCCAGCACTGTGGCGGCACGGCGGCCGGCGGCTCGGACGCCGATGATTGCCCTCGTAGCGACTGGGGCTGGGAGGATCCCACCGCCGAGTCCGAGTGACTCGCGGGACACCTGGGTCCATGCCGTGAGGGTCATTCCTGCCTGCCTTCCGGGGAAAATACACACGCCTTGCACTGCCTCCACACCTTCTGGGATCCCCCCCCCCCCCCCGCTCTGCCACAACCGGGGCCCCATCCTGCTCTGGTCTTCATGGCCACCTGGCCACGGTGATGCTCTCCCCACCTCCAGGCGCATCCATGCACACGCCCGAGACTCGAGATGTGTGCACGTGTCGCCACATGCGGCGGCGGGCGTGACACGGCACGAGGGGTCATGCCCGCATACACACACACACACACACCGCTGATTGGGGCGCGGAGGGGGGGCAACGGGAGAAAGAAACCCTGCCGGGGGGGAGGGGGGAACAAAGCCCAAGGAGCCACAGGATGCATGTATGTATGTATTTGTGTATATTTCACGCGGAAGAGGTGGGGACACGCTTGGGCACTGCGCGACCGGTGCGAGGGGCGGGGGAACTGGTGCTTGCCTCGCGACACGGGGGGGAGAGGGGGGTGCGCGTGCACGCGCGCGTGTGGGGGAGGAAGAGAGAGAGAGAGAGAGGGAAGAAAAGGAGGGCAAGGAAGAAGGACGGAGAGAGATTCGGCAATGGCACAGGAAAAACAAGGACAGGGGCCAGCCGTCAGAGGAGAGGCGAGGGGGGAAAGAGAGAGGGAGACAAAGAGACGAAGGAATAGAGAGGGGGGGGGGGAATCCCCGAGGGAGGGGGAGAGAGGGAGAAGAGGAAAAGAAGGACAAGGAGACGTTGCCGGGAAAGGAAACTGGTCGAGGGAAAATTGGAGAGGAGGGCACAGAAGCGGGGGACAACGGAGGAGGGGGGCCGCCGGGGGAGGATCAGGATGGAGGAGGATGGAACGAGGGCGAG